AGTACCTGACTCGGAACCTTTTCAAAATCTCCTTCAACTTGGATGGTCGTCGTGATTGTTTCAATCACAGGGGAATAAATCGAATTCGAACGGTGCGGGCACTGCTATTGTTCATTTTATTACTCATATTGTATTCGAGGATAAAATCTCTACCCTCTGGCAGCTGTCCAAACGTGGCAAAGGATACAGGCGACAAACCTTTGTCGCGTTTTTCTGGACATCAGAGTGACCTTTGACTCCATCGATCGCGCTGCCCTGCGCAACTGTTTGCTTAGGAACAGTTTATCCAAGAAGTTCTGATTCGAAAAGCACCCTTACGTCGGATCTTGAAGGTTAGAGCTTACTCTGTGGACGTTCATCCTCATTCAGTCAACAATGGGGTACAACAGGGCTAAATGCAACCAACCCCGGCTTTAGGCTTCTTCATGAAGGCAATCGTAGACTTAATATGCCGATGATATTGCCGTTTTTCTGTGCCAATACGCAGACTATGCAAAGTGCGCTCAGATCGTTTTTTATTTTACCTTAACACGAAATAAAATGAGCAATTTTGTCACAGGTAACTAGGTTCTGAATGGTCCCCACCCAGTCATAATCCTGAATGCGAGTGGTTCATTTGGCGATGTGAAATGCCTTTTGTAGCAAGGACCGACTCAGCCAGATCCCATGGTGAACAATCCCGTCCCCCCCCCCCATATCGCATTCACCAAAACTGAGATAACAATTAACTAACAAAACTGACGCTAGGGATCGTTCTTACGTAACAATTTGCGAATCTGCACTATCCCTTCCAGGGAACCGGCTGAGGTACGAAGTAATGGAACGCACTCTGCGCATTTTCGAAACCGAGTGCAGAGGGATCACATTTCAACAGAACAAGCTATTCCGTTGCCGAGGCTTGTTCCCGGCATTGAGATCGATGACTTTTTTCATAAAGAATGTGGCACAACCGTGAGTGATATTTCATCAAACCAAACAATGATACGCCTCTATGGTGATAACAGACACGCGAGCGTGAAAATCAGTTGAGAAAGAACGAGTGAAAATGGACGGGGGAAAGCAAGAAGAGAACAAACAAAGTAGTAACGGAAGCAACATACATGTAGGCAAAGACAGACTCTTTCACAACGATGCCCGTGCGGCCCGTGAGGGGGAGGGGCAACTATACGGACAATGTGGATGGCGGGAATGGGATAAGAAGAACGAACTGTTGCAGTCCTTGGACATTATCAGACATCAATGTACACAGGAACAGCAGCGCATGCATAAGCAGTTTGCGTACAGAATCAATCTCACTCTCTTCGTACAACTTTGGACGATCCAGAGTCAAACACCGCTCGACTTTTTGGGAACTCACCGCTGTTATTTCAGCATCAGGGAACGGCACAAAGCCACCGAGGAGAAAAGTTAAACATCACTTTGGTCGCATTTGAATGGGCCGGCTCACAGGGGGGAATTTGGTTAGTGGCAAGATCAGACGTACAGAGAACTACAAACGGAAAACCACCAGAAACTCGGGGATTGCGCAATCTACAAGTTTTGAAGTACATTGATGAGAAGAGCACTCAGCAACGGTTGCCGCTATCTCGGACTCCTTTGGTTTCCTATCTGACAAACAACGAACCCAGCAAGCAAAAAAGATGTGCTGGTTGATTTTTTGTAGAGGGATATAGGGAGGGAGTGCGTGTGATGTGAACAAGGGAGCAGCTCGGAGAAAAATAAGGCACTGTAAAGACAAAAGAACAAACCAAACCAAATCGAGTACAGAGACATAATGAGACAGATAGCAGTGAAAACAAGAACAAGGTTTGTCTGTGTGAGAATTGAAGTTTAGGCACTTGAGAGAACTGCAAGAGTTCAGAGAATCTTCAACAAGTCCATCTGATCGGTCAACATAAATCGGCGCGTGTGGGGATGAAGTTGTCCGACTATCAACCTTTTTCGACATATGATTGAGGTTAGAACGACAGCAACGACGGTTAAGCATTCAACGAACCGTTAGTAGGCAATAACTCCTCGCGATACTGTTTCGACTGAGCAGGTCGATTCTCGGAATGCAACCGATCGAGCTGAATGAACAATGGGTAAAATAAATCAGACGATTGGCTAAAAATGTTCGGGCGGCCATAACGTTGCCGTAGTTGACGTGATTGTCATATAGAAACTAGATATAAAACGCTATTTGAAAGGACTGATAGTCATGTCTAACAGTTCGATTGCTGACTTTCATTGTGGATCGTTTACCACACTGTGACGAGGCTGAATCTCATTATAAAGCCACGGACATGTATTTACTCACTCGTTTTCTCCAGACTTTTGAATGTGCCTGCACACCGGTAAGTGCGCACAAACAGGTTATTTGATTTAGCATACCCTGTGAATGATAGTCGCGTTGGTATTGCGGCCACACTGCGATAGGTATGCGAAGAACAGAATGTTAATAACTACAAACAAGGTAAGAGTCCATAGTGAAGTGAGACCGGGTAAAACGTATTTAAGTTGTGAACGAAAAGGCAACCAATTGCTTCAGTGGTGCAACCCTCGAATAGTCTCACATTACCTTGAAGATGCTCACCCCGCCATCTATCGACTATCATGAGTGCACTCACGTGATCATACATACATACACACAAACACACACACACAGGCATTCTGGGATACCTGATGCTATGGGAAACCTGTGAAGGCCCAGCCCACAGATGCTCGGCTGGGACGGAGAGAAAAGGAAGCTTGTAAGCTAACATCGCTCCGTCGAAAAGGATGAAGTCCCTGTTTCGCTTCCTAATAGCCAAATTATCGGAACTAGCATGTGTTTATCAACCACGAACTCACATGCGTACGCGTGATGCGTGTATTCAAAATTCCATTGAATGAATAGGTTCAATGGTAAACCGGTAACTATTTGATAAATGAAGACTGGCATCACTTCGAAGCTGGCACACAGTGGATCCCAGACAGTTAGGAACATTTCATTCAACCAACCAAGTTTAATCGAAGACGTGTTCATAATGTAATTACCAGCTGAAATAGCTTAAGACATACCAATTCGTTTGCTCTGGAAATCAGAACATCACAGGCTAGGTCAACATCCTTTTGATCACCGGTGACCAGAACACGATTGGCGTCAGCTGTCTCCCGGGCATTTCGATTGGGGAATTCAATGCGAACATGAAAATCGGACATCACCTTTTGGATCGCATATCCCCGTGATCCGATAAGTTGTGGATGCACCTGTACGTCAAAAGAAGAAAACAAGAATCTGAGGTTGGAAATTGTCAGCGACACGGGTAACATGTTTAACCTGCTCGGATGTCTGTGTAATTGTTCTGGTGATCTATTTACATTCTACAAATCCGTGTTGGTATTTTGTCGATCCCGCGCTTCGTTGCACTCTACCGCCTAGAAAGGGCAATAAAACGTGTTTGCGATAATGCATGATGCTCAGCATTGGATACCGACTATTGCAACCGTGGACATCGTGAGATAATTGCACAGCGATTAGGAATTTGTAGCATGACCAAAGCATCCACTATAGATACTGTAGGTCACCACCAGCGATTTCAACAAAAACTCTACTAGAGCAATGGGTACATAACAAGAAAAGTAGAAAGACATTGACCAGTGAGCTCGTACCAACGGCTAGCAAGTTGTTACACAGAGGTGAGACCAAACCTTAATTGGGACATTTTCGTGGAGCGTCGAATTTTTAATTACACACCAGTGTGTGGAGTGGTGAACTACACACAAAGCCCCGCTAGGTCAGGTGTGATATAGAACCGGGAGAGAGCAAAGCTGTCTACCCTCAAAGATATATATACCATAAGTAGCATGTGAATGACTGGACGAAGATTCTCTGGAAGCACACGACCGGTTTCGCGGTCCTTGTCGCTCGTCAGGCATGCGTATCCGGTAATCTTTTGTCAGTTCATTCATATACTTATACCCGGGAAGTATATTTTCGACACAACAACCTTGTTTACATCACCGGGTGACGTTTCGATAGACAGCTCTTCCAGGGCTAGTCCATGGGTCCTGGTTGTACCCAGAACGAACTGACAAAAGATTACCGGATA